CCCCAAAACCCCAAAACCCCAAAACCCCAAAACCCCAAAACCCCAATAGTTCTATTGCTAATTGAAATTAGTTGAGGTTATATTAAGAGAGACAAATTGAAGGTAGGGAGGTATTAGGCATTCGGTGAAGGTGGGTTTGGTAGGGAAGTTGAGGTTAAATAAATGAAGCTTAGAAATGGAGGCTGTTAGTCAGACTGAGACAGATAGTCGATGGAGGTTTATTAGAGTTAGCCCCTTATGTTTTCATGGTATCGAGGGTTTGGGTTAAAATTTTGTAGGTTTGTGGTTTTTGTATAAACGTAGTGAACAGGATTTTGAGGGTGGTAGAAGTTATTTAATATGGCCGATAAGAATTTTGTAAGGTATGATTATTCTTTGGCAAGATGCCCTTCCTCTTTCTTTGCATCATAGTCTTTGGGACTTTGAGACCAGCCGAAGATCTTGTATTCTTGGTCCTCTCAGAAGGCCTTGAAACTCTCGGCTTGCTGCCACTAGTCGCTCCTTTTGGTTTTAACTTCTGGCTTGGCCTAGAACTAGTGTCAGAGAGGAGGTAAAGAGTCGGGGTAAAGGAGTAAGGATACAGGAATAATTTTATTTTTAGCTTTTAAAAATTTTGAATCTTTTAGAGCTCTTAAGTGCTAAAAACCATTCAACTAGAGTTTAATTCTAACTCGAAGATTAAGAGGTCTAAATGATCACTTACGCCATACTTTCCAAATTTTGAGGGCTGTCAATTGTTCCATTTGAGTTTGGATCGATCCTTTTGTATAAACTCTTTGCTCTTGTTTTCAGTTGGTTTTCGCATTTAGCTAATTGTTCTAAGCAAATTAGGCAAACTAGAGTACCTTCAGATCTACAATTCTTAAGTCTTTTCGAGAGTTTATCATTTCTTTTCTGTATCTTAGAGCTCTTAGCTTCATTCTGTAAAGCTGTTGATACATCTGTAGATGTTATCTTCGAACCTGAATCTTTGGTTTCAGAGCGCTGATAATAATTATCGCCTAGAAATTTTCCTATTAAATTTACTACTAAGGTCAACATGTGCCAGAGGTGTTTGATAGGCAGAAGTCTTGGATCTCTGTCTGGTTTCCTGAAAGCTTGAGTACTCTTGTTTCTGCTGATAGGCTAAAAATAACTCAGCTTAAAACCTACATTTCTGTTTATTCTTATGATTAAAACAAAAGTCAATCAAAGCCTCTTGCTCTATCCTACACTGATTCAGCTCTTGAAGAGTCTCATGGTACTTCTCAAAAAACTCTCTCCTACTAAGATCATGTATGAGCCTAAAAATTGGTTTCACTAAGCTTCTCAATCTCCTCGGAAAGATCCTTAATAGTCCTCTCCATCTGTACTTTAGCCAAATAAATCTCTCCCTTATCAGACATTCTCAAGTCTTGATTACAGCCTTCTACATTCTTCATGGTCTTCTCGACTGCTTCAGCCAAGAGGAAGAACTTCCTATTTCTGAAGGATTATGTCCTTTTTATAACTGTAATTCTCCCTTTTGAGGGCAGACAGTTTCTCAAAGTACTTGTTGAACTGGTTCTGCCTCTTCTTGTCTTGAAGGTACTCCGAGAGAAGGATGCTGATTGATTCTTTGAGGTCTTCGATTAGGTAAGAGTAGTATTCGCGTTCTTCTAGGATTATAGTCTTCAGTTCTTCTTTCTAGAGGATTAGTTAAGCCTTACAGATTTTAGATCAAGGATTTCAGGCGAAAGAGAGATAGGTGATGAGGTGCTTGTCATGTTGTTATAACGGCAATTCAATATTATACATTTTCTTTGGGGTTTTGGGGTTTTGGGGTTTTGGGGTTTTGGGG